TCTCTCTCTCTCTCTCTCGCGTCTTGGAGGTAACCAGAAAATTGCTCGGGTGGCAGAACGAGGCCAAGGCGCGCTGCAAAGAGCAAGTCTCCCTCCCATCCTCCCATCCTCCCATCCTCCCCGGCATCGAGGGCACTGCTCTCCACGAAGCCTGTCGTGCTGGGCATGTGGATGTGGTGACTTGCCTCGCAACGACGACGCATGTTGCACCATGCTGCACTTTTGCTTCTGATCTCAGGTGCGCATGCTGCTGCTCCGCGGCGCCCCCGCGAACGAGCGGGATGCTCTCGGCAGGGCTGCCTTTCAGGTAGGTTCCGCAGTTTCGTGATTGCCGGTTTTTTGGGTCATGGCCCCCCAGGTCGTGAGCGAAGGCCCTGCGGAGAAGCCGGGACCTGGGGTCGTCGCTTTTGGCGCACGCGGAAACACAGCTGGGGAAGCTCTCTGAGAGTTGAACTGAGGTCCCGCCAGCTTCAAGCGGCCTTCGAAGCCGAGCCATGGGCCTCAGAGCCTCCGACGGACTGCTGACAGATAGAATCAGAGACGTGTCTCTGTCTCTGCGCATCGTCTGTCCACTGTCGTATCCCTTTTGCAATGGAGGCTCTTCAAGCGCTGCGCCCAGGGCGACCTGGCCACTCGACTCCTCTCGCCTCTGACCATGGGTCCTGCATACTGGGGATTTCTGTTGTTCTGTTCTTTTTTTTTTTCTCTGAGGCTGGCGCGGAGGCTTTGGCCCTCGGCGGCATCGACCTGAACTGCGAGCAGGCCCCCCAAGCAAGCCCAAGCCCAGCAAAACAGCCAAGGGGCCCGGACGCTGAAGGAACGCCGGCTGTGCGGTCTCTCGGATATTCGCCCTGGAGGCCGGCTACAGCCCCTGGGCCTGGGCCGAGCTCTTTGGCCAGAGCTCCGTGGCCGCGCGGATGCAGGCGCAGCTGCGCCGTCGCGGCCAAACCGGGCCCGCCGCCGCTCCCGCTCCCTTCGCTCCCTTCGCTGTCGAGGAGTTGGCTTCCGGCGGCCCGGAGCCGGCGGAGCCGGCGGAAGCGGAAGCCCCTGCAAGCCCGGGCGGCAGCGCGAGCCCCGCGAGCGCCGCGAGCGCCGCGAGCGCCGCGAGCTCGACATGCGAGTCCCGCCGCTTGGACTCTGAGGGTCGGAGTCAGCCCGAGCTTCCTGTCGGCCTGCCATCGGAGTTAGACAAAACGATGAAATAGAAAGAGTGCTGGTTCTCAGTGCTCATTGCGTACCATCTTCGGAAGGGGGCCCGGCTTGACTTTCGGTTTCAAGTCGCTCAAAGGTCCAGTGCACTTGTCGCTTTGGCCGGCCATGACCGCATACCTCCACGACCACGCATGTCTGGGCGGCCGTGAGGTGGGGAGAAAGAGAGCGAAGTGCCCACGGGCGCGGCGGATAAGCAGTGCGATGATAAAAATTGCGGAGAGGTGGCGGTCTTTCTGCCCCTGCTGGACTGGACCCGAGTGGCCTGGCCCAAGCCTACTCGAAAAGCGCGCGCCCAGCGCCCAGTCTCATCCCGTCTCATCTCGTCTCGTGCGCCGAGGCTGCCAGCCTCCGCGAGGAGCTCTCCTTCTGCTTGCAGGCACAGCGACCTGAGTGAGGGTGCGTAGAGCTGCAGAGCCTCAGAACACCGAAGACAGGGGCGATTCCCACCCCCTCCTCTTTCGGCGTGTTCTCGGGCCCGGGCTCTGCAATTGCTGCGCAGGCACTTTGTGGTGAGGCTGGGTGTTTGACACCACGGCTCCGAGTTCCCGGTGGCAGCGGTGGCAGCGGTGGCAGTTCAGATTCCAAGGCCAGTTCTTCCCGGGCTCGGTGCTGGACTAGTCATGACTAGTCGCCTGGCGAAGGAGCTCCTTCAAGTGGACGTGTGGATGGACCGGAGTGTCTCCACGGACGCTTACGGAATCGCCGTCCAGTCGAAACACCTTCACATCACTGCGGGCTCCTTCCAGGCGCTCGCTTGGCAGAACAGGGCACGCAGCGCTTCGCAAGAAAAACCCCCCCCCCTCTTTCGTGGGTTCTTGAAGAGTTGCTCTCTCCGGTTCCGCGGCAGCTTCGTGCTACGGGTTGCGAGGCGCTCTATGTGGCCTTGGAATCCTTGCGACAGCTTCTGAAGTTCCACGGCGCCGGGAGCGCCTTGCGGCTGCCGCGGCTCCGTGCTTGGGGGCGCTGCCCAGGCCACAGTCACACAGAGATGCACTCACTTTCTTTTTGGGAATCCTCTAAGCCCCAGCTCTGCACCGAATGTTCACCTGTGAAAGCTTCTGCTTGTGCCAGCTCTGTACTTGGATGCTTTAACATGCAATCATTAGAACGGCAGGGTTTGCACAGACAGGCCTATGCAGGGTTTTCAGAAGTATAACGAAGAGACCTGGCTGGCGAGGCCTCTTTGCCATCTTCCTGGAGCTCTGGCGCCTGGAGCCGCGAGAGCAGGTCTTGGTGCTGCGGCAGCTGAGGGGCCGGGGCAAGAGGCGCGCGAGGGCGAGCGTGCGAGCTTGGCTTGTGTGAAGAACACAGCGAGAGAGAGAGAGAGAGAGAGAGAGCGAGAGTCAAGAAAACAATGGGTGGTAGGGCGGGCCAAAGGCCTGAGGGTCGGGCCAACCGACCCCTATGCCCTGCAGAAAGAAAGAAAGAAAGAAAGAAAGAGAAAGAGGCTCAACCACTAAACAAGCAAACAAACAAAAGGAGAAGAAATCGGCGAGGGTCGGGTCGGGGGGCAGCTCCGTCCGCAGCCGCTTTTGTTGTCGAGGCAGATCTGGGCTCCCGTCCCCGAGCAGAACTTGGCCAGCATCTGGCAGATACGCAGGACTTCGCAGGACCTCGCAGGACCAGAGCTCGCAGTGCAGATGGCGTTTTCCGTTCCGAGGACTTGCAGCGAGCTGGATGTCGAGCTGGTGCCCATCCTTGCGAGCACCGCGAGCATCGAGCTTCTGGCCCAGAGCGCCCGGCAGGAGTTTTTTTTCTCTCACGCTGTGGCCCTGCTTGGCCCTGCCTTGGCACTGCTTTTTGGAGCGGCGAGCTTTTGGCAGGTTCCAGGGCTGCAGCCAGATCGGGTGTCGGAGCGGGCGCGCACGCGGGGGCTCTTCCCGAAGATTGAGCCATGTCTGAAAGCCGAGTGCAGGGAGGCGGCGGAGCTCGGCCTCTTCTGGCAGAGGATGCCGGGACGCCCAACAGCGGCGAGGGGGGCGGGCGCAGCAGCTGCGGGTGTCGAGAAAGCGGTGTGGCTGAGGCTGGCCGCCGGGCTCGGAGAAGGGCGCCTGGCCGCGGTGCTCCAGGCGCCCGCCGCGCCCGCGCCTGCGCTGCTCTTGCGACCTCCCTTGTGCTCTCTGCGCGAGGCCTCGGGCGCCTCGGCCTCGCGAGGTTTGGAGGCCTCGCCTCGCCTCGCTGGGGTTGCGCCAGTGGCCGTGGTGGGAGGGCGCTTGTGTGCTCTTTCGCAGCAGGATCTTGCTTGCGACGGCATCCCCTCTTCCAGGCGGGTGGAAAGCCGGTCAAAAGCCTTCGGAGATGCTGAAGACGCCTTTCAAGCAACTGTTATAACGGACAGCCAAGCCGACCCCTCCTCTAAAAGAAGATGTTGACCACGTGATAAACTATAAAGCGTGCATTAAGGTATACGAAGTGGATAGAGTCGGACAGAGTTGATGGTGATTCGGATTTTCAACCGAAGCGTGATTTTACAGACGTCGCCAATGTGAGCATGCATCACACTTGTATCCAGACCCCCTTTGAATCCAAAGTAATTATGAGACACTAAAGGAAGCCATGAAAGTGGAACATTATCAGGACACCATGCGTTGGATGAAGATCCTAACGGATTATCATATGAATACCCTTACGGTTGACAACAGAGAGACATGAAAAACTAACCAGAGAGCATCTTCAAATAAATAAATATCTAAATAAACAAATAAAGAAATAAATAGAGCAGAAGATGATTTCACCACGAATGGTGCCAGTCCTGACGATATGACTAAGGTGTTTGAGCGTCATAGGATTCAAGTTAGGGTTGTTGATGTTTTTGAAAATCAGGTGTATCAGTAGGGCCCCGGAGAAGCGAGACCATCACATATAAGCACTGCATGCGAAAATGAAGAACAATCACATATAAAGAGCGAATGATAATCAGAGTTCATTAAAGCAAATGCCGCCATAGGATTCCAATTCTGATACTTGTTGTGTATATAGGCTTCTCCAGACTACCATTTACATTTTCCGAAGTCCAAACGGGCGAGGTTCGCCGTGCTGCTCGAGACCCGCCTTGAGGCGGCCAGCCTGGGCTCCGAGGCCGCGAAGGCACTGAAGGCGGCCAGTCGAGCAGGGGCCCCAAGGGCGCTTCTGGGGGGCCGTGACCTTGGGGGCCACGCTGCCGAGTTTCCGCTGCTCTTTTCCTCTGAGTTGCAATGTCGCGGTGTCTCTTCTGGCCTTCTGGTGCGGAGCCCTTCAGCCCTTCCTTTCCAAGTTTGGTCCGCGGCCCAGAGGATTTAGAGATGTGCAAATCGCGAGCGATCTCTCCCACTGCTTTGGGTTTTCCCAACTCTGTTGGAGGCATTGGCAGCCTTTGCCAGGGACGGCTGCCGCCCTCGCTGAGCTGACACGCCAGGCGCAGCATGCAGAGCTCAGCGAAGCCGGAGCCTCAGATGCACCGCCCTTCAAGCAGCGCGTGCACGTACACGTGGGGGGGAGCCTTGGCTGAGGTGCTCCTGGAAATCCCGGTGCCCGCGCCCGAGGGCGAGGCGGTTTTGAGAGGGAGGGTTCTGAGGAGCGACTGTTGTAGTGAGGTTCGGTGCGCCCTGGGCGGGTCCCGGCACCGCTTGGCCGAGCCCTCGGAAGCGCGGCCCAACCTGCTCCAATCTGCTCCTCTGCTCGCGAGGCGGCCGAGTTGGTGTCCCCTCTTCGCCTTCCTGGCAGGCAGCCGCCCCGGACAGCCCGCGCCCCTTCTGAATGGCACGGCCGAGCCTCGTCCGCCCACCGCGCAGGCGCCAAGGATGCGGAGGCCCTCTTGCAGAGGAGAGAAGGCTTGCAGGGACTAGGGGAGCGCGCCGGCGAGGCCCTGGAAGGTTTGCGAAAGCCATCCTCCAGGTTCGGGAGCTGAGGGGAGCTGAGCCCTGGGCTGCTTTGCTTTTTTGTAGGCAGCTCCTTCTCGGGCTCTTCAAGGATGCCCCCCGGGTTGCGGAGAGCAGATCTTTCCTGCTTTGAATTGGGGCAGTTCTGCAATTCTGCTCTTTCCAGCTCCTCTAAGGCCCCCAGCGAGGAGCTGGTGTGGGGCCGAGGGAGCCCGCAGGGCCTTAGAGTGAAAAAGCGAGCAGAAGGGGGTCCCCCCTTTTTGATGGGAAGTGCGCGAGAGTCGCGCCTTTTTTTCCCATTTGTTCTGAGGCCCGGGAGCTTTGGGAGGGCTCCGAGCTCCCCCAGGTCACTTCGCTCTCCGGGCCCTCCGCCTCCGACTTTCTGAGGAGATGAAAGCCGATGTGTTCCCGCTGAAAGCCCCGACTTTCAAAAAAGATCTCTCGTCTCCCTTAAAGCGCAGAGGAGTCTCTTGGAGCTGCTCGCGGGTGGGGGACCCAAGCCCAGCCAGGGCCCAGACTTTCAAGGAGAAGAACAGCAGCTGCTGATGGGAGGCCTTCTGCCCCAAAGCCTCGACGAGGCGCGAACTCGCGAGCTCCGGGCCTCGCGGGCCTCGCGGGCCGGGTTGACTGCTATAGGGCACCCTCTGAGAGGAGAGGTGTTTGTTTTTTGTGCGACGCCGCGCCCGAGCCGAGGACCGAGACGGCTGCATTAGCTCGGCAAACGCCTTCGCCTGAGCGGCAGAGTGGCAGAGCGGAGGGGCGGCTTCTGCAGCGCAACAGTACGGCTGCGTGGAGGCATGGTATGCACACCTGTCGGAGCGGCGACAGCGATTACGGGAGTTCCTCGAAGGACCCGTCCGTTGCTTCGCTGAGAGTTGTCTGTCAGAAGTGTGCCGATGCATTTTCCCTCTCAATGCCATCTGATTTGAAGCAGTATGTTCAGGACATGAAGCCGTGTCCCAGCACGAAAGGGCAAAATGTGTCGCCGGCTCGAAACAAGTAGCCTTTCATGACTTCTTGGAATGGAGAGTTTCCGCTCAGGAACTGCTTCCGGAGTCGCGTCTTCTAATTGCATCGGCTTTGACAGGAGTGGAGCGGCCAAGCAGCATCTCTGAGAGAAACCTTGTCCATGGCTGCGTGCCCAACGAGCTAAGGTGGCTGCGCTTCAGCTGCCGCCTGCTCCTCCTGCTGGCCAGGGGGCAAAGGGCTTCCAGGCATCTCTTAGTCATGTAAAACTTGCTTTCAGGCGAAGCACAGTGAGAAGCACACAGCGACGCTCCACGCCGCCCTGCAGGCAGTTCAAGTAAGTCGGAAGTGGTCAGAAAGGAAGCTGCCACTCTTAGGCTCTGCCGCCGGCCAAGGGCAGCGATGTGCCGTGAGCTTTGCACAGTTACAAGGTGTGTGTGGATTGCCAGTCATGCGACTTTGTTGGAGCAACACCGGGCATGCATCCTTGCTACTGCACAAGAGAAACCCGGCCCAACCGGCCGTCAAGCGCCCAAGAAGCGCAGATACCCCCGCCAATTGCCAATGGCATTCAATGCAACAGGGCAGCAACGAAAAACAGCCATCAGAGGATTTGAGGATTTGAAAGATCGTTCTGGTTCTTGTGCTTGAATATTAAATGAACCGGGGAAGCTGTCATAAGCGCAGGGGCACGCAGACTGTGTTGCGATGCGAGAGCGAGCGGAGTGGTAGACGCCCTGAGCTTTTTAAGCAAAGAGATGCAGGGAGGGAGAGAGGCCGTGCTCCGCCTTCTCTGAGGCGGAATGGTTTCTTGAGCCTTTTGCACCAGACTTCCAGCGAGCTTGAGGAGCGCCTGGTGGTTTTAAGGCTTGCGCTCTTTGGACGGGGGAGCTGAGCCTCGCAGGAGATCGAGACCCCTGAGTCAGAGGTCTCCCTTCCTCTCCAGGCTCCAAACAAAAACTTCTCTGGGTCTTTTAGGTTGCAAAAATGCTGCTGCAAGGCTGCCAAGGCCAGGGGCCCAGAGCTGCCGCTCTGCTGCTGCAAATCACTCCGCTGTGCTCCGAGCAGGCGTTGTGGCGGGGCGGGCTGTGCCTCCCTCGGGCCGCGAGGGCTCTCTGCCCCGTTCCTCTCTCCTCCCTTCCTCTCTTCTTCTCTCCTCCTCTTCTTCTCCTCTCTCCTCTCTTCCTCTTCTCCTCTGCGAGGCGTTTGGGTGCGGCCCTGGACTTGCCGCCCTGGTCTGCGATCTAGGCCCCTTTATTCGGCTCTCGGCATTCTGGCGGGAAAAAAAGCCAGCACTCTGGTGTGCCGCAGTTCCTCCGAGCGTGAGATGAACTCCATAACACCGGGTTTGCTTCTGGTAGGACATGGCCCATCATGAGAAGGGAAGTTTCGGATCGAGAAACTAGCTCCACAGGGGTGAGTTTGTTTCCGGCCGAAAAAGAACTAAGAATTCTTATGGCTTCCCGTTCTTGTTTGTCGACATTTGAGAAGACGCTTGAAGCGGTTAGACGGAGTTGTCGAAATGTTCAGTTATATTTCATTTTTGTTGGCTTTCAACCCTGGTGAAGCGAACTGGTGTGGCTTCTCCTTCCTGTTTGTCGGAACTTGACTTTGTTTTCTTCGCTTTTTGCCACCCCAAAACGCATTCGTGCGAGTTCTCCTGAAACGAACGTAACTCGAGTTCTCGAGTTTGTAGTTGGCCTCCGAAACAAACTCGCCCGGGCACAGTTTTTGTCTGGCCGCCGAAACAAGCCTGTCGAAGCCAGAGTCTCAGAATTAGTTTGTTTTCCCACCAAACTTTGCCAGCTAGAGTTTGGTTTTCGCCGCCGAAACAAACTCGCCTGGTCGGAGTTTGTTTTCGGCCTCCGAAACACTCCCCAGAGTTTGTTTTTTGTAGGAAAAACAAAACTGCCCTCCCCCCCCTCCCCACCGAAACTCCAACAAACAGCTTCGCCACTTCCCAGGGGTCGCTGAAACAAGCAAACCTCTACCAGCAGAGTTTGTTTTCCGCCGCTGAAACAAACTCGTCCGGTCACAGTTTGCTTTTGACCACCCGCCGAGCCAGAGTTTCAGAGTTAGTTTGCGTCCACCCCCACTTTACAAACTGTCCCAGCCAGAGTTAAACAAACTCACAGGGTCCGAGTTTGTTTGTGTCCTCCGAAACAAAATCGTCGACCCAGAGTTTCCGAGTTAGTTTGTTTCTCCCCCCCGTCCTCCGCCCCTCTGCCTCTGCCATGGTCTGCCCCAACGAATGCGACTTAGTTTATCCTTAGCCAAACAGACTCCTACCCCTGAAGCTTGTTTTTTTGAAACTAACTATCTTGCCTCGGTCCTTTACCGCCATCGGTGAAGCCGCCTGCGCGTGAGTGTCGGGCAAGATGGAGCACCGGAGGGGTTGCGCTTCGCCGGAATTCACAGGTCTGCATCTAGGCATGACAGAAATGTCGAGGAGTGCCGTATGTCTCGGAACAAGCGCAATCTGACAATTTGAGAGCACCTCATCTGCAAATCCATCACCTTTCCTAAAAATCCTTATCCTCTTTACCATCCACTTAATCATCATCGTGTCGCCGTTGTCGGCCTCCGCCCCTACCACCGCTACAAAGGGTTCGGGTTGCCCCTCCCCTTGTCTTGTGTTCTGTCCCAACTTCTTCCCACAGGGCTGTTACTCGATCAAACTGTTTTCCCTTGATCTTTTCCCTCGCATCCGCAGCTTCGGTTCAAAGGCTGCTGCAGACTTCCACTTTCGCGCTTGCTGAGCATGATCGTGGAAGTTTCGGCCCGCGGTACTGAGTCACTGGTGCCACCGTGTCCAGGTGCCATAGAAGAGCTTTGCAGCGTGCTGCTGGAGCCAGCACCTTTGCAACTTTAAAAGGTGCAATTGCGGTGTTCGGCACGACCCAGTGGTATCAGATGCCCAGGCTGATAGTGACCCCCTGCGCAACAACTAACACCACGACACAAGCAGCAACAGGACGAGGCAAATGCATGTGTACAGTAGTCGGGTATCTAGCCCAGATCAGACGAGGTTTGTGCTGAACTGCCGAACCTCAACTCCCTGCGACGAACCTTGTCGAAGGGTTCGGGGTTGGGCGCCCGGAGTTCCTGTAATCCCAATGTCAAAACATGAAACAAACAACGACGACAGCGACGACAGCGACGACAGCAACGACAGCAACGACAGCAACAGCGACAGCAGCAGCCGTAGAGGCTGTTACAATAACAACAGCAAGAATAACCACAACAGCAGCAGCAGCAGCAGGAGGAGGAGGGGCACAGCGACAGCCAAGGAGAAGACCGGCGCGATGACACGAGATGTGTGGAGATGTTTCTTTTGGCCATACAAGCCCAGTGAAGGTGCAACGTGCGACAAGAGTCGTGTCGCGTGGTGTGCTGGTTGCAGCCTGAGTTCCTTCGCCCAAACGGTCCATGGCCGGCTTGATTCCCTCAGTGGAAACGGCGGAAAAAGCCACACTCTACGTCGCTACGTACTGTAATTTTCTAAGCTTGGAAGAACCGACGGAAGCATGGGCATAGGCGATGCAAAGGACTTGGCAGGAGCCAGGACCTCCTCCCTATCCCAGGCCATCGCTGCGGTGCCTTTGCATGTTGGGCAAAGGCTGCATGCGGCGCTTTTTCATGGAGGTGCGCGGTTGCACTCGGCGTGGTCTGGGATACGTTGGCACCCCCCAGCAGCACCGCAAGACTCGCAGAGCCACAGGACTATGCCAAAGTGATGTCAGCGTAGGATTTCTGTGTGCGATTGGAGAGACTGTAAAAAGCTGGGTTGGCTCCAGCTTTGAAGACTCCCGCCGGTTTCGAGGCTCAACAGAAGCTGTCCAGAGTCACTGGCCCAACCACAAGACAGAGCCGTTGAGAGCGCAGGTGCCCGATCTGACAGAAGGAGAGAGACCCCAGCCTCGAGTCACGAAGCCTTGCTCCCTTAAAAATCGGAGCCCCCTAAACCCTAGGGCCTAGGGCGGCCTCGGCCTCGGCCTCGCGACCTCGTCCTAAGTCCTAGCGGCCCCTCGCCTCGCCTGCCTGCCATTGCCATGGAGCTGCTCATGGCAGCTGGCCTCGGGGCCAAGGCAGAATCTAAGTTTTAGAGGGGGGGGGAGCTGGGAGCCTCCGTCGGTCCGTCGGTGTGGGCGTTTCTGCGCCGTTTTGCGTTGCTCTTCAGGAGCTTTTCAGCTACAACCGCGAGAACTTCAAGTTCGACCAAGATCAGAGGATCGAGCGAGAGGCTCGCGAGAGCCTGGGCTTCTCTGCAGCGGTTTTCCCCTCTGCGCTTTGCACAGGCTCTCCGGTTGGAGATGCAGGTGAAGCGCTTCGAGCTCTTTCGGGAGGCACGGAATACGGCGGCGGCGCAGCGCCGGGCGGCTCCTTACCTCGCTCTGTCTTCCTGGGAGGACGTGAGGGACTTGGTGGAGCTCACAGTCGACCGCATGGACGTCTACCATTTGGCCACTTTGCGGCAAGAAGGCAAATTAAGCTTTCTTCCACTTCCCAAAGAGCCTGAGCGTCGCCGCTGATTCGGAGCAGAAGGTTGGTGCCCTCTTCTTGGAGTTCTGCATCGTTCTCTTCTGCGAGGGTCGAGTGCAGGCTGGGCCGGAAGGCAGCCGGCAGAAGGCTTCTTTCGTTTCTCCTCCGCAGGCGTCGGCTCCTCCTTTCTTACTCTCGCTCTTCCTCCTCTCCAACGCCTGTGCCTTCATCTACCTGCTCCTGGCGGTCTGGCTTTCCATGCATGCACGGGGACCCAATTACGGCTCCCTCTTTCAACTTGACGATTCGGCCTCATCTGAGGCCTCGATCGCGTCGCACAGCTTCGGGGTCCGCCTGCCGGCTCCCCAGCTGCGGAAAAAGCCGCCCGCGCGCTCTCTCCAGGGTGCCACCGCCCGTCGTGCTGCAGGCTCACGCGCTTCGTGCGCCTGCCGATCCCCAGCATGAAGCAGATCGCCGGCCTCAGGACGAGCCCTTCGCCTCCCTTCGTATTCCCTTCGGATTCGTGTCGCTTCGGCGAGTGGAAGCAAACCTCGAGATCGATCGAAAGTCGTAGACCAAAAAGAGGGGCCGAGGAGGAGGTCTCAGCTGCTCGCTGTCGACCTGTGGCTGCAGTCACGGCTGAGGGTACCGGGCAGCTGACACACAGCTGGCAAAGGCGGCCACGTGTCCGCTTGTAGTCGAACTTCAAGAGAGCAGCAGGGAGTGCATAACGGGTAGTATAAGAGGGCTCAAAGAGAGGTCGGAAGAAGCGCCCCGACTAAGTGGCGGGGTAAACGCGTGTGTTGTCGGGCGT